AACTCATACTGACAAGAGGGCAAAGCCCTTTGACATGGGGGAATGTGTGAGGCGTAGGGGGCTGTAGGGGTGTTCAGCCTGTCGAAGAAACTCCTGCAAGGGAACTAGGGGCATAGAGGGGAAGGGTTTATGGTCATAGCCACAGCTCGGTGGTGGGTCCGGACATAGATTGTAGGCAGGGATGCCCCGAACAAGACCCGTAGCATGATGAAACAAAAATGGGACCCGCTTTTGAGCTTCCCTTTTATAGCACAAGCCTTACTTGAAATAGGTATGAGTACGTACATGTATGTATGCATGTTTATATACACACACACAATAGTTCATGCCGTGAAAGTCCACGTGAACGCAGCCTCCAACGCTAACCTATGACTCTCTGTACATCATCCTTGTGCTTACCTCTGGATAGCGGCTCGGATAGCAAATGGATCCCTGTGGTAGCCCTGTAGAATGCCCACTGATCGAAGTGTTTTCCTTGTCTTTTCCATTCCTTCATTCCCTGAATCTCAAAAGTAAATTTACTGGGTCGCCTCTAATAAGGAGCTCAAACTAAACTACCATAATATGAGTGCATAGTAAATAATGGGGATTCCTTATTATAGTATCTAAAGAAGTTGCTTATAGCCCCCCCTGAGGTAGATAGAATATAGTTTAGATGAGGATCTTATTATAGTATACCCATAGCCATATTCTATCTACATGAGGGGGACTGTAACAGCAACCAAGTTTATGCAAATGCTCAAGTTGGAGGGCACCAGCCTGCTCCCAGCATTCCAGCAACGGCCGCATGTCTTTGGAGCAGGAGCCCTGCAAAGGAGAGGCAGTTGGGAAGAGATTTAGGGTTTAGGGTTTAGCGTTTAGGGCTTGGGGCTTAGGGTTGCTGGTTGCTCAAAATACCTGTCCCTAAAACGGCCACAATGTAGGTTCCCTGGTTGGCTAGAATCCCCTTTTAACCAATTGTATTCCCAGTGGTCCCTCCTTTACAAGGACCTCTGGAAGCACCCCCAACTGTAGCAAGAGTAAGAACAAGGGTAGCAGCTCTGGCAATGATGATACTGTAAAAGCAATATTCAAACAGCCATGTAATACTAATCGTACTAGTAACAGTACTCGTAAGAGCAAGAATAACAGTAAAGGTTTAATCCTCTATATAACCCCCTTTTAGGGAGTTTAGACTGTAGCTCAGTAGACGGCCGCACGTCTTATACATCACAGTGCCAAAGGATAGGAGTAGTACTCTCCTGCTTAAAGGGTTTAAGGTTTAGGGCTTGAGGGTCTAGGGTTTTAGGGCTTTAGGGTTTAGGGTTTTAGGGTTGTAGGGTTTAGGGTTCAGGGTATGCAGGGCCGGAATATCATCACAGAGCCGGCGGACAAATCCTGTAAAAAGAACCCTTAAAAACCACTGGAAAATCTCCCACTCCAGTACTTGAGACACTTGGCAACACATATGAGCTATAGCTAGTATCCCCCTCAATAGCCCCGATAGTGGCCCCCCATATAATCCCTGTATAACCCCCTTTCAGGACTTAAGACTATAGCTCATATCCTAACACATAAACGATAAGCCCAGCCTTGTCCCGGACTTCAGATCCTAGGCAGAGCCGTGCGAAGCAGGCGAAAGCCGCCGCAAGGGGACCGGCCTGCGAAACAGCTCATTTAGAGGCCTGAAGACTCAGAATGCTTTACGGCAAGACAAACCAGATTGAGAGGAGCAGTATGCCAAATTATACACGGAATGCAGTGATGTTTTTTTAGTTTTATAGGTGTCCACGTCACGCGCCTCAAAAATTGTGCCCTTCTGGAGTACTTGTCGAGTATAGGGCATCATACAGGATGGTGAGACTCAGAGATAAGTGCTTCCTTAGATGCTCGATGCCCATCATTCCTGACAGCACTGTTCTTGCGGCACATGGGGAGAACGCTAACATTGAGGACTACTCATTTCAAGACTGTCACGAATTCATGTTGTTCCAGTTCACAAGTTCGATGCTTGCAATGCCAATTCTTCTTTAGAGCGGGTTTTGGATCCAAAGGTCATGACGATCGCGGCCGATTGATGTTACAAAGCAGATTGAAACCCCAAACAGCCACTGACTCTCTGATCTCTTTCCTTCTTATACAACACCTCCCTCCCCTTTGGTAGTATCAAGCAATGATCTGGACTCCTGAACACGGTCAGGTAGCATTGTTATACAACAGGGAATCCCGGACTTTCAAAGCCTCGGCCCTCAGCAAAGTCCAGTTGCCACTAGATTTCCCAATGGAATTTTGATTTATTTCTGCAATATCTGAGATATTCACGCATCTCTCCTGATCCTACCATATCCCTATAGGATCCCTGCATAGCCCTTTATCTGTTACCTCTACGTACTATCAGGGGGTAGGAGGCCAATTAGGCCCTCACCCCAAACGCCCCAACCCTAAACTCCAATCCCTAAACCCCAAACATGAGCCCTGGAGTAAATTTGTAGTATATCCCTTGATGGGTCCCACCCAAAACCCTATACAGTCCCCTACGGGTCCCACCCCAACCTAAATTTAGCCCGTAGCTCACATGACAAGAAGGAGCGGCCTTAGTTGAGCTGCCATAGTTTTTCAGAGCCTGCTCAGGATGCAGGGGAGCTTCTCACAAGGGGGGGCCTGGGACCGCATGGTGACAATCTATAATATATATATATATAGATAGATATTATAGATATAGAGATATGTAGATACACTGGGGTTATATGGGGATATAGGGATAATGGAAAATAAAATGCAAACTGCTATAATGGAAAAGAAAATAGATATGTAGGGGATATATAGTCCAGTTCCGAGATCTACCAAGGGAATCCAACAATGAAATGCTCGTGGGATAGTACAGGCAACTGACATTTAGAAAGCATTCTTATGGGTTATACAGGCATCTTTCTCGCGGAGCTTCTCATACCGGGCGGGTAGCCTAGGGACCTTAAGGACACAAAAAGAATATGTAGTATAAGGGGCTTATGCTGGTCCAGATAAGACCTCAGTACGGGGGACTTGTGGGTGTTACGGTAAGGTTTAGGGTTTCGGGGATCTATCTGACGCTAAACCCTCAACCCTAAATTCTAAGACCCTCAGACCCTAAACCCGGAACCCAAAACCCCTTATCTTGCAGATCCTGTTTGAGGGTCCGGGTCACCGCCAGCCTCCTCCGCATCCTTCAGTGCAGAGCCATATTGACAAAACCTTGATCTGGCTGCGGAAAACAAGGGTTTAGGGTTTGGAGCTTAGGGTTTAGGGTTTAAGGTTTAGGGCTTAGGGTTTCGGGTTTAGGGCTTAGGGTTTGGGGTAGAGGGTTAGAGTTCAGGGCTTGGGGTTTGGGGTTTAGGGCCTAAACTATGAGGATGGATAGGGTCCGGGTAGTGTTTAGTATCGTGACATTTTGCCTAGTAAAGACGAATCAACTTGAAAAGAACATGGACATGATATCATAAAAATACGTATAAGGATTGTGGCAAGGGTCGAAATACATATATATATATATACACACACATGGTAGTTTCCCTAAATTACTGTTCCCAAAATGGGGGAAATTTATATAGGGCCCCGTATTATAATGGGAACCCAAATATAGGACCCCGTATTAGAGGGAGTTTAGACCAATACCCATACATATAATTATGTACCAATTTAATTTTGAAGTCAGTTTGAGGTACCCTATTCCATAATTATACTACCAGGAATGTAGAAGCATGATATTGGTAGTTCTAATTTTTCATGCCCTTATAGCAGTCGTGGTCTGTTTCGCACACGTAGCTCAGGTGGACAAGTGTATTTAATTTTCAGAACAGGCATCCCGATGTTATGCCCCGAAATACAAGGATATACAAGGATCATCGTCACACGTTCCTACCCACAGTGTTGAAAGGTATTGACTTGCTTGGGCGTGTAACAGACAATGTAGCAGTCTGCGGCCCACCAATCACCTATACTGAGCACCATGGCAGGAAGCAGGGGCACCATGCTAAACACGCTGCCGCTTAGCGCAGGGAAAGTGGTTAAGCGATGAGAGCTCAGTCGAGGACTTGAATGCACACTCCCATAAACATAGCACCAAAACTGTAATTTCGCCTGGTAAGATTGTCGTAGCAGACAAGTCTTGACCGCAACTTGCAAGATTGGTTTGTGGCGTTGCTTGCGATTGCCTGTCGTATGTTGGTGCTGCGCGTGCTGCGTGGATGATGCAGCTGAGATCGTTGAGCTGGACTTCACTTGCTTATCCCGCGCAACTATGGCGTAAGGCCTTGAGGCCATACAAACTGACATGATACATGATCTTCGTCTGTCATGCTTTTCAGATGAATCGAAGAAGAAACTGGTCCTTCAATCCATAAGGCTAAACCAAAGGAGCTTCGTAGCATCTCCTGATTGTTAAGCATTCCCTGCGGCCCTACGAAAAGGCCACCTTCAAATAAAAGACGTCCTTACTGACACTCACTACCATTCCGCCTCCACATATTCAACGCCTAAATTTTCTAACTGTAGTTAATCCCTAAATCCTACACCCGTAATCCCTTAACCCTAGAACTGAAATCCCTAAACCCTAGACACGAAATTCTCTCAGTCTGGAAGATCTCAGCACGATAACTCTGTGTTGTCCAGGGGGTCTGCAGACACACTCAGGCTTATTGTGAAATCACCACTACGTTGTCAAACCGCAGATGCTACATCTACACCCTAAACCCTTAATGCTGCAGTACGGAAAAAATTGACTGACTGCGCTGTGAATTCAAAGCCCTAAACTCAACTGTGAATCCAGAATCCGCCAAATATCCCCAGTTGAAATGTCATTCTCTGTTGTCTTTTCCATGTGGTTCTCCACTATTAAAAGCATCTAAGCGGACGCGACCTTCAGGAGAGCGATCCTTGAACCATAACCCCCTAAATCCCAAACCCTAAACCCAAATCCCTGAAACCCCCTTGAACCTCCATAGCCATAGTAATCCCAAGCCCTACGCCTTTGCTTGGCCCCTGGCTTCCAGCGAAGTAACGCTCGAGTTACGAGGAACAAGCCTTTCTGAAAGAAGGGCTTAGGGGTTTAGGCCTTCAGTGTTTAGAGATTGGGGTTCAGGATTTAGGGTGCAGGGTTTAGGGTTAGGTTTCAGGATTTAGGGCTGAACTGGGGTTAGAGTCTTGCAGGAAATGGTCCAAAAAGTGTGCTGTATGGCTGCAGGCTTGAGGTCAAAGGTCAAATGACGGGGCTTAGAAGCAAGTTGGAGGTGTCAACACAGCACACGCAACTCTATCCAGATCTTATTCAAATATGCCATGAGATCTGGGAAGTCTGGATAGCTGCAACTAACGGCACTGAAGGCACCCCGCACAAACTTCATTAATCCAGTGCGTGGACTTTCTGATTCCAAGAGCGGGAACCGGGGAAAACAAAAAACATATCACTTTTTACTCGTGGGCAACCCTTGTTTGGGCCAGTGGCTCAACAGCAATCGCTTTTGAAGTAGAAGCCCCTCCGGACGAACTCCTCAAGCAAATCCATACTGTAGTGCATCCGCCAGGAAACCAGCCTAGATGTTCAGGTCTTTGAAAATTCTAATGCGAATATACTACATAAGGTTTTTGTACAGAGGGCTTAGACAGTTCAAACATGAACATACATCATCTTCATCCTGGCAACAAACATACGCTGACATCTGCTACTCATGCGGTCGCGTAGAAGCCTGCCCGTAAATTCCCTGCACCATCGCCGTACATGCCCTAAACCACCAACCCAATTGCCTGAACCCTCATCAAGCTCTCCCTCATAAGCCCTATACACACTATTTTCCAAACCTAAACTCCTTAAGTCCCAGTATGTTCCCTACACAAAGACTCCTGAGCCCATGGCCACTGGGAACGGCCGTACGCTTTTCTAGAACTTGGAAAGCTTCGTCCCACCTCAGCCAAACTGGGATCAATGAGGCTCAAACCCTAAAGCTTCAAAACGCCCACAAGGGATGGTTGTAAACATATCAGGGTCCATTCGCATTTACCTTGTACCACCACTGTTGGGGGGAGGCTGCCCAAAGGCACCAGCCGACGGTCTGGGTCCCTTGACGGGAATTGCTGGGTAAGTGTGACGACATGAAAACTAAGCTACTGCAACTAGGAAACTGCAATATTTATCATAGATCCACAGTATAGTATCCTAGTTGAAGATCCTTAACAGCAACCGGAGTATGATGTAGGGATTTTGCGCACATTGTAGATGCAAATTGGCGCGCGATTTAAGTCGCTGCAACCTCCCCTGCAAACACATCTTCTTCCGGAAAAGCCTTCTTAGCAGACAGCATGAAGTTGCTCAGCCAGAGACCTGTTGCGCAAGATCCTGTTGCCGGAAGAAGAAGTCCAGAATACCAAGGCCTTACCATCCTTTACAAAAGGGTCTGAACTTCTAGGGGCTTAGGGCGGGAAGGACCCTAAACCCTAAAGGCCTAAAGGTTCAGAGTTTAGGGTTTAGGGGTTCAGGATTTTAGGGCTTATCGGGCATCAGCCGAGCTCTCAGCTTCTGCTTCCTCGCCAACTCTTCCACGCTTCGCAGGAACCCTCTGGTTTCTTCCTGCTTGCCAAAATTTGGGGCATCAAAATGGTGTTTAGAGGTTTGGGTTTAGGGGTTTAGGGTTTAGGGGTTTAGGGTTTAGGGAAAATGGTGGGGGGAGGAAGAGAGTGTAGGGCAAAGTTCAGGGAACCCTTGTTGGATCTTGTTGATGGGTCATCTAGGAAGGATCAGAGAAGCTCAGGTGATATAAGGAGCCTCGAATTTCTGCAATTACCAAAAATTCGCTTCCAAAAAACTAAATGCCATCTCTGTGCCAAAGGAATGGGTCCCGTAAGCATATTTTAGCTGCCTACTGCCCACATGGAATTCTAGCTCTTCTGCACCAATCTGTTGGAATGACATAGCCACCAGAATGGAAGTTCATGGGTATATTTCTTGGGGATTACAAAGCGCTGGCATGAGACATAGTCGGTCTCTGTATAACTCCACAAGCCACCAACGAATAGTCATGGTCTAATACATGCAAAAATGAGAGCAACTCATGGCAACCCTGAGTTCAAAGTGCTTGCAACTCGTAACTTCGATCTTTTGACGTTGGTGTAGTTTCTTGATGAGCTTCTGGCGCGATGCTGCTGGAATATCAGGCTAACACCGGGGCATCACAATCATAACCTAGATCACTTGGTTCTGCTTGAAAGTCCTATGGGTCCAAGTATTCAACAACTCAATAGTCATATGCTTACCCAAAATCTGCACTACAATGGCAATTACACCTACCAAAATCCCAAGTACCTAAATTCTTGGGTACGTGGACCCTTAGGATCGTAGTGGTCGGCCTGTTACTGCTTCAAACGCTCTAGAAACCACATGACCGAGGATGTCCCCTGCTTGCCCATGCTCTGTACTCCCATACCCCCCAAAGAGGCGTTGATCATGCTGGGATGCCTTCAAACTCATCCCTCCCCCTATTTGTACAACAACCTTCCGAAGGTGGCACTGACACTTATGACATCTTACACACCCTAAGGGTCCAATTACCTAATAATTAGGTACTTGGGATTTTGGTAATAATAATTGTCGAGCAAATGTTGGGTAAGTATATCATTAATCCCCTCCCCTAAGATTAAACCCTCCACCCCGCCCCCCCTAATACTAAGTACCCCCAAAACAATGTCCCTTAAATAGGTCCCCCCCAAAACCCTATATAGTCCCCTATAGGTCCCCCCAAGCTAAATTCAGTGCGTAGCTCATATGATTGTTGAATACTTGGACTTTTAGGGACAGCTCGTGGCCCAGCCTTACCCTCGAGCTCTGCTGCTCGCTTTGCATCTTCTTCTGCCTTCCAGCCGGAGCATGGCAGGGTTGAGACTTTAGGGTTTATGGTTCAGGGTTTAGGGTTAAGGGTTTAGGGTTAAGGGTTTAGGGTCGGGGGGAAGAAGGGCTCTGGACGGGGGATCTCTGAGGAGAACCTAGAGATAAACCTTTAACAAGCTGTTATACTTTAAAATGGGTTCAGGATAAGCAAAATGCCCATTTGCAATGTCATAAAACTGCAGGCCGCAAGAATTGGCCGAGGACCTTTGGTTTGGAGTCTTAAGAACCTTGTTCCCACACTAGACAAGGGGCGCCCCAGTCAACTGAAGTCAGAGGATCTCTATAAGTGCCAGACCTGGAAAAAGAAGGACTAAATTCCCCCTGTATCCCCCTATATCACCCCTATATCCCCACATACAACCCCAACATATTCCGTATATATCCCTCTAAACCCTTACGTTGCCAAACTGAAAGAACACAAAACTTTGAATTGCAACCTTCAAAACTCAGGCACGGCATGTGAGGACCACTACTAAAGTAACTTCAATGGTGCCCTCTACATGGGTCCCTTATCAGAATAGCAAACATTGGAACATGCAGCAGTCAGGAACTCTAGTGCTAGTACGCATGATCGTCCTAATGACCCCAAATCAACTGCTTCCCAGCCCAAACCTTGCAGAAGCCTCAGCAAGCACGACATAATCCTAATGAAGCCCGCATAAATCTTGTAGGATCATACCCTAAGGCTCTTAGACCTGTAGTGGGCTCCCCAGACCTGGCCCTGAAGGTCTACACCTTCCCCCAGAAAGCGCGCAGGGATTCGAAGCCCTACATGAGCCATTGTCTAAATTCCTAGTATCCCACTTGATACATCTTATAATACTCTCCTATGTAATCCACTTTAAGGAGTTTAGACCGCACACCCCAAACCCTAAACAAACCCAACAAATCCTACAAACCCTCAACCCTAAACTCCAAATAGGAGTTTCCGTTTTCCGTTATGCCTATATAACCCCTATATCAACCCTGTAAACACCCCTGAGCTTTGGGTTTTTTAAAGCCCTGTGTAATCATCACATCCTCATTTGCCGGCCTTCTTCTGTCTAAGGAAGGCAGGGCTGTCTGAGAAGGTGTATTGGCACTCCTGCTGACGGCACCAGGAGGAAGGATATACACATATACACATATAAACATATACACATATGCACATACACATATATATGACTATACCTATAAATTTACATGTACGCATGTCTGTGTGTACGTATATACATATGAATATATACATTTACGGAGACACATACAGGATTTACGGTTTAGATTTTTCATGGTTCAGGTCTTAGGGTTCAGGGCCGCAGTTGGGGTTAGGCTTCGTAAAGGCATCGCCCAGCGCCCCGAATAATGCATGCATAAGCTAACGTGCACAGAATTGCGTGTGTTTCCCAAAAATCCGCCCCGCATACCAGAATCCCTGCATGTGTGCCTGGAGTTCATTAGGGTACCCCTAGGGATTAAATAGGGGCAATATAGGGTTTACATGGGGGTTATATACTCATTGAAACCTCTCTTAACGGCAGCCAGTATCACGGCAGAGTTGATCATTGCCTCTTCCATTGGGTTCTCGGTGATCAACGCACCTGGCACAGTCAAGGCGTAGGCTTTTAGGATTAGTTTGGGGTGGGTTGCTCGCAGCCATGACAAAATATTGAACACTGAATACTTCCTAAACGTGCCGTAAGCTGAGTGGCATGAAGTCCAATTAGGAATAGAACGGACGCCACCCATGTCAATGCTGCTTAAACATTCATCGCCATTTATGTAGTTTCACTTTGCCATAGTGAACATGACCCAGATGAACCTCAAGCATCGCAACTGGGGTGCTTGATATGAAGCAGGGGCCCATCATGCAACTCCTATATATCTGCATCCTTTCCGTACAGGATCCTTCATACAAGACACCCTAAGCCCTGAACCCCAAATCATAAACTCTAAATCTAAACTCTTAGCCCCTAAACCCTAAATCCTAAACCTTAAACCCTAAATCCCTAAACCCTGAATGCCTAAACCCTAAATCCTAGTCCCTGAAGCCTGAACCGCAACAGCAGCTGGCCTTTCTGTGATGGAATAAAGCGCTTGGGAGCCGCCTCGGTGCAAGCCCCTAACCCTAGTTTTTAGGGTTTAGGATTTTGGGTCCCTAACCCTAACCCCTAAACTTGAACCGTAAACCGTAACCCCTAATCCCGAAAATCCTATACAAGACTCCTTACCAAGAAGGTCCAAGTACCCATTAATTAGGTACTTGAGTTCAGGGTAATGGTAATTGTAGTACAGGTTTTGGGTAATTATTGGGTACTTTGACCCTTAAGGTTCAAGTTTAGGGCTTAGGTTCGCGGCTCAGTGTTTCGGGTTTAAGGTTTGAGTTTTCGGGTCTAAGAGTCTAAGACTTAGGTAGGGTTTGGGGTTCAAGGTGTTGGTTGTAAGGTTAAGGTGTAGGGTGCGGGTAGGGATATGTAGAGGTCTACCTGAACAGGGAAAAGAAACTTGGCACAACTACGTTCGAGCTTAGGGTCTAGGATGTAGTTAGAGTGTCCAAGTGCCCAATAAAAAGGTACCTGGGATTTGGGCAATAGTCATTGCAGTCGAGGCTTTGGGGAAGTATAGTGCGATTTTTGAGCACATGCACAGCAAAGCAAAAGATTGCAGCCCTGCCTTCTTTTTTTGTTGGGCTTGTTGGCCCATGCTCCGTGGCAAAATTGCAAGCGAACTGGCGAGTCAAGGACACTCAAACACTGGCAGCATGGCATTCTAAACAAATCATCTGCAGAGCAACAACCACCAGTGCGCAAACATGCACGGTCAAACTCGGCACATACGAAGCACCAGAGCGCAGCATTGAATATCTCACTGCGAGAATGAAGGCATGTCCACCGCTGTAGCATATGCCACAATGAACCCAAACATGCACGGCATGCTCTTCTGCCATGGCGTCAAAGGAATCCGCAAGAGGTGCTATCTATACGAGGTCACGAAGTTCTCGCCTCTTGGGTTGGCAGGGCGAAGCTTTGCTTTGGTAAATTATGGGTACCTTTTTGGGGATCCCCATAATAAGGACTATAGTCAATTAGGGTCTATGTTGGGGTCCCCTTATTTTTGTGCTAGCTTTTTTCTGCGCTGCATCTGATGAGAGCAACACATGCGGCTGCTTCGCGGCATGGCGGTCTCAGTCGGTTGGGTGGCTGATATAGTCTAAACTCCTAGTATCCCCCTTAATAAACCCTATAGAAACCCCTCTAACGAGTTTAGACTGACTATATAGTACATATTGAATCAGTCCATTCGGTTTGTGCAGACTGTCCATGAAGGACTCCCTGAGCCAGAGGGGAGCAAGCACTGTGTGCGTCCAAAGTATCTTTTCAGCTAAGATGTGAGGGTTTACCAAAATTATGGGTACCTTTTGGGGGATCCCCATAATAAGGACTATAGTATATTAGGGTCTATATTGGGGTCCCCTTATTTTGGGCAACTATCATGTGGGACCACAGGACAAACAGTTGAAACCCTAAACCCTAAACTGCTCTTCGGGTGCGCAACCAGACAGAACTTGTTGCAGTCTTCATTGGGAACAGCAATTGCAAGCTGGTCCCAGTATCTTTGGGACTTGATTTTGAAATACGCACCCCCAAACCAACATGGAACCTGAAAAAGAACCCTTTGTAGACTGCTGCCCTTTTGAAAAGCCGGTAACCATCCCTAAACCCTAAACCCCTAAACCCAAAACCCCAAATTCAAGTCTCTTTTTGTCAACGGCCGCGGCCGCGCTTAACCCCCATTGCGCAGCATCAGTCAGTCTGTCTCAGACTACGCTTCCCGCTCTCATGTACTCTCTGCAACACTGGCTGTCGACACTTTCCAAAATCAGGGCCGTGGGGTAGACATACGACAGACTCCTAGCTGCTGCACCCTAAACCCTAAACCCTAAAACCTCAGGGTCTGTGGGTTTTCTTAATAAGCGACTTCAGTGCTTTGCAGCCACGCATCTTGGAACCCTTTAGGCAAAGATGCTTGCATCCAGCTATGCTGGAGGCATCATGCGCTGTACCAAGCTCGCTGAGCTGGGTCAAATTAATGCTACCTGGTTGCTTTTTCTACTGCTAGTTGCACTCTTCTTATGAGCCACAGTCAATGTTTTCCACGAAGTTACTGGACATAGGCTCCTTTCGGGAATATATCAGGGACTTTACTAAACTACCAGAAGGCCCCCTATATCCGCTCATAATGGTCTCTTCACAACCCAAATATTGACAGGAGCTCATACTACCCCTTTATGAGCCCAGTTTCTACTTGATGTCCATTTCCTTGTCCATTATTCCTGTATACCCTAAACCCTCCATCCTTAAACCTCTGGGGATTCTGGTCTCATGACTCATGATTTGAACTTGTTCGAGCCGGCTATTGTCATGAACATGAACTGTTGGTATCATTGTCTGCATGAAAGTGTTCCCGTCTTCAAGCACACCACAGTATTCCTAGCAATGACAGGTGGTGGTGACCCAGTTCCAGTTGGGCTAGCTTGGGCTCACTTCTTTCCTCGGCCGCGAACCTGAAATGGCTCCAGGAGTTTAGGGTTTAGGGTGGCCTGCAGGGAAATACATGGAGTTGTTAGATGCTACGTGTAGACTTCACCCCTCCCCCTCCCCCCCAAGCGCGTCCTATGTGCGGACTAAACTTTTCTGTGACCAGCGGCAAAATCATTGTCTTGCACGACAAAGTGAGGTATGCTCAACATCTCCATATACGAACCTGTCAAATTTGGGGGGCTGAACCCGAAATTCCGAAACCCTAAACCCTACCCAGACCCCTGGGAGGATCTAGAAAGTAGAACCCCCAATTTGGTACCCTATACTACTATAGGGTAATTCCTAGGAACCCTTAAGCGGGTTCTACTTTCTAGATCCTCCCAGGGGTCTGGGTAAACGCTAATACGGAGTAGCTTCATTCTGTGGATAACTGCGTTCATTCATGAATCACAGGAGTTATAAACATATTTCCTAGAAGTCAATGTCCCTTGCGTTAAACGATAAAACAACGCTTCTAGTCTTGGAGTATGTGCTCTTAAGGGCCCCCAGAGTCCCCCTAAAAGGCCTAAACACCTTGGACTTACTTCAACAAGCCCTTACCCCTAAACGCAAACATGGTCCCAACTACCTGGTGCTCAGCGGGGAGTGAGGGAGTGCATCAAATTCTTTATCGATAACACCACGTTCACATTATAATTATTCCCCTGTTCCACTCTGCCCATGCTGCCGAAGCCCCATATTATCTCTAATCCCCCAACCAAAACCCCTCAACCCTAGCTCGTAACCCCAAATCTTGAACCCTCAACGCCTTTCCCACATTCCTTACTATCTGGGTTGGCCACTAAAGCCCTTTGAAAAATATTAGTATATAGGGTCTCTTATTAAAGTCATTAGGGAAAATATTAAACATTTCAGGGGCCTACCCAGCTATGCGTCAAAAACCTGAAGCCAGCCAAGGGACGCCCTTCACGGCCTTCGCCTTCGCGCCCCGCCCCCCGGCTCCGCGCCCTCTTGCTCTGGCGCCTTTGGCAGCCCTAGGCGGCAAGCGAAGGCTTAGGGCGCATTCAAGGTTTGTAAGGGTTCGGAGTTGAGGGCTTCAGGTTCAGGATGAACGGTCAAGGAGCTTATGGCGCGGCGTTTAGGGTTTGGAGCTTTCAGGTTTATCTCGATTTCGGGGGAACAGACAGCAAAGAAACCTCTCCTCATCATCGTGGAAGCCATTATAGATCCCTTGCAAAATGAGAAAAGTCCTTTTGGAACCCCTTAATAGTAATAATAATAACAGTTAATAGTAACAGTAATAGTAATATTGTCAGGTTCCCTGGTTGCTGAGGGAGGATCGCGGAACCTTAAACAACAAAGCAATAATCGTGTACCGTCCTGCTCATACTTGCAAGAAATCTTGGGCCACATGGAAACCCAAGACCGCTACGGACTCTAGGGTGCAGGGGTATGTAGGGGTTTAGGGGAATGGAAAAACAAAAAGGGACACTGCTACATTGTTTAGGACGAGGAGGTCTAGGACTAATAGTACCTTTCCCACTCATAATGCGAACAAGGAAGATCAGTGCTCCTGCATCCACCGCTGCGCAGAGCAGCAAGTACAAATGCAGGAGAGTAGGCCAGTGAGAAAGGCCATTATGAGGCACCACGCAGTTATGTGCACAAGCTAGCTTTGTGGGCAAAAATAAGGATCCTGAACTTCACACACCTGTCACTGTGAAGCTACTGTAACGCTTGTCCAGAAGGACTGAGTCTTAAGGCAACAAGCATGCGAGCTCAAGTTTCTGGGTTGCTGTTAAGGAACTTAAATTAAGTTACTATATTGGGGAAACCCCATTATTTACTATACATACCCACTATGGTAACTTAATTTAAGTTCCTTAACAGCAACCCAGGTTTTTCGACCACTCTTTATTAATTGGTGTGAGGCATGGAATCTCCTACAACCTACCCCTGAGGGTCCAAGTGCTTGTGAATCATATACTTATTCAAAACCTGTAGTACAGTACTGCTACGACAAAAAGACCTAACTGTTGGGTACTGAGACCCTTAAAGCCTTAAAGGTCTCTATGTGTTGATATTTTGGGGTCCAAACGATCAAGTGCGCGGTCTGGGATTCTTTTTATTTCAAACTATCCAGATGCAAGGGTCCAAGTACCCAATAATTGGATACTTGGGATTCTGGGAATAGCAGGTTTTGGGTAAGCATGATAAGATTACTTAGTACTTGGCTGCTCAGGGCATGTAATCCCGGGCAATCATCACTGTAGTTCCCCTAGCCTCCCTACCTACCCAGCACTCTCAGGCATGGGCTTTCCCTTTGCTTTTGCTTTGGGGTCTGTGCCCCTGGCCTCGTACTCAAGACATGTGCTGGAGTGAACGGACACCAGCCATCTTATAAGAACTTCACACCCTGACATGAAGCCAATTTTGGACAGGCTTCTAGACAAGCAACCGATTGGGCACTAAGCGGAAAGGGTCAGAAGGATCTTCAAGGCTCCCTAGTTGCAAGCTCAGAGATTAACTCTACTGCTTCGTACAGTCTTGGAAAATGGTAAGGCGCCAGTACAATGATGAAGCAATCTATAGTGGGTTCAGGTATACATGAACATGTAGACAGTTATTCAACAACTGGGCTGCAGTTGGACAACTCATCCTAAATTACCCCTCGGCTCTGGAAGGAGACCATAGAATTCACCATGCATCCATACTACGGCACGGTAACATTGTAATGTACCCAGAGGGTCCATGTACCCAATAATTAGGTACTTGGGTTTTGGGTAATAGGAATTATGGTACAGGTTTTGGGTAAGTATATGATTATTAGGTATTTGGACCTTTAGGGGTAGTTTAAGTCCTTAGACCCCTAAACCCTAAATTTTCAACTCAGCTCACAAGCCGGCAATTACCCATAACCAGGCACATGTCTTAGGAGGACCCCCCACCCTGTAATAGTGGTATAATAGGAGTATAAGAGGACCTTAATATAATCCCTATTATCCCCTATAGGCACTATTACTGGGTGGGGGGTCCACCTAACACATGTCAAAGGTCAGTCTACAATAGGGTTGAGCCGCCAAACGACCGAATGCATGCAGTGTGTGCGTCTGCAGCGATGAGGAAGACGCATGTTGTGGCCTTGCCAGGAGTGTCCTCGAAGGAATTATGCCCAAAAAATGCCGTAAGCCTACAGTAATGACCCTAAACCCTACACTGTAATGATGTCCCTCCTCTCTAAAGAGCTATCCCCCTACCTTTCCCTACGTCCTTTCCGCACTTCGGGGCATGCGGCAAAATATTCGCCACAAGTTTAAGCCAATACAGCAGTATAAAACAAGGTGTTGGTTGAACATGTTCAACCCTTCAAAATGGGACAGTGCCCCCTGGGACCTTGAAAACATGTGAACATACAAAGTTATATGTGTATACATATATATATATATTCATATTTATAGAGACACATATAGCAATATGGATGATAAGGGGTTTGCGGAGATCCCGCACATTAGCCCAGCACGAGAACACCCATACAAAAATATCTGAAGCAGTGAAAACCAGAAGGTCATTAACTCTCCGCTGGCCTTCTTTTCGAAGAAGGCTTTGGCCCTGCGATTCAAAACACATGGCGGTCTGACTCTGTGCCACATACAAAGAAATGAGGACGAGTACACGGACTTTTCAACTTCAATGCTGCAAGTGTGCATCCTACGGGAAAATACCGCGACCAAAACAGCGTGACGAGCAGAGTTCCATGATGCCATGACTAACGATGTGAATTCTTCTTGTTCTTTATGTTTGCGATCCAGAGCAAGGCAGGATAGCCAAAGATAGACTCATACCTCCGCAACATGCCAAAAAACATGGAGTGCCTGGCAAAAGACATGCACCTATCAACAACCAAGACTTACCAACATTCGGTTTGTGACTTCGTTTGAGATTGTAAGACAGAACCCTGGCTCGCCAGTCCTCTCATGAAAATACGATGGTTCCAATTTGTTTGTAATGCATTACCACCACCAATGATGCAACCCACTCCGTGACGCAATCAGCTACACACTGGCGCGCGGGTGTCCCAGAATCATAGGGCCTTCTTTGTTTTTGAGAACCTGTAGAATACAGATCGTGCACTCTAGGGGATATAAGCCGCAACCCAGACAGGCTCTCCCTAACCCCGAACTCCTATATTGTCCTACCCTAAGGGTCCAAGGACCCAAATAATAGGGTTTTAGGGCCCAAATACCATTCATATTATAGTATTTGGGCCCTGAAGCCGTATTATTTGGGCCCTTAGGGCTACATGTACTCGAAATCCAGACCAGTCAACATCCAAAGAAATGCCGTATCCTTATCGACTAAGAAGATCAAACGGGCGAGGACATGCGCAAGCTCATAGTCCCTCTTAAGCAAAGACAATATGGGGGAAACCCCAAGTCAAGTGGCTTAGGGGATCCCACCTCTACTAAGTAAGTCCTTCAACATGGTGTACATGGGGATCTTATCATGATGTTGGGGAATGCCATATTCTATCTACTTAATCAGTCAGTGTAAGAGGGCCCCTACGCCCTAAGCCCCAAACCCTAGCTCAGTAGAGAAATAAGCGAAGGCAGAGAAATCTCAAGAACTTTCCATTGTAACGTCTTGTTGAAATGCCGCCCTGGAGAAGATATCTCTGGTTAAATGGTAGTATCCGAAAATCGGGGGACCCCAATTTAGACCCCAATATACTATAGTCCTTATTATAGGGACCCGCAAAAAGGTACACCTAATTTTGGGAAATCCCCAAATAAACTCCTATAGTAGTCCTAGGGTTTAGGGGTCCATATTACACCTAAATCCGAAGCCCCTGGTCCTATATTGCTTTGGATCCTTGAAGGAGGCCCCAAGAAATCGTATAGCCCCCAACACCTTCCTGTTTGCGCCCAGGGTACCCATGACTGTTTGAGGGTTCGGATAGTAGTCCCTGTGAGATAACACAAAGGTTTCCTTGGATTTGGACCCTCAACCCTACATACCCCTATAAATCCCTATTGATACCTTTTTCAAGTCCTAGCATTCCCCTTAGTAACCCCTATAGTACTCCGTATATAATCCCCCATGTAACCATAAACCCTTAACCCTAAATAAAGAGGCGACATCATCCGCTATATAACCCTAAATGAAGAGGGCGAGGGCGACATAATCCTCTATCTAACCCTAAACCCTAAACCCTAAACAAAGAGGGCGACATAATCCTATATATGACCCTAAACTCTAAACCCTAAATAAAGAGGGCGACATAATCCTATATATAACCCTAAACTCTAAACCCTAAATAAAGAGGGCGACATAATCTTATATATAACCCTAAACCCTAAATAAAGAGGAACCCTAAACCCTAAACCCTAATCCCTAAACCCTAACCCCTAAACCGTAAACCCCTGGAGAGCGGCCTTGGTTTTACAGTCTCCTCTCCCTCCTCCGCGCCCTCTTCGGCTTTGCCTGCTTTTGATGTGCTATGCTTCAGAAGTAGGTCTTAGGGTGTAGGGTTTAGGGTTGGGGTTAGTTGGTATAGCTGTAGGTCTTGGGGTCTAGGGTTTAGGGTTTAGGGTTGGGATTAGTTAGTATAGCCGTAGGTCTTTGGGTGTAGGGTTTAGGGTTTAGGGGTTTAGGGTTGGGGCTAGTTAGTATAGACGTGGGTCTTGGGGTGTAGGGTTTAGGGTTTAGGATTGGGGTTAGTTGGTACAGACGTAGGTCTTGGGGTGTAGGGTTTAGGGGTTTAGGGTTGGGGTTTGTTAGTGTCGGCCTGGTATTCTGAAATCTAGAGCTTCCAGTCATTCCTTTCCCTACAAATTAACAGCCAGAAAGATAAGCCTAAACCCTCATTACTTAGATCCAATATATCCGCCTAAACGACCAGGTTTCAGTGCATTGTCTATTTGTTTTTTGATGTCATTTCCCAATCCCTACTAAGGTTCCATGCAGGGACGCCATCCATGTACATACTAGTAATCTCCCATGCTGATCAAAGCCTCTGACAACAAGAGCATGTTGGTTAAAACACTGAAAAAGGTCCTCTAGCTATGTTAAACGACTATCATAGGACCCTTTTTGGGGAGTGTGCGGGGTTAGGCTCACCAAAGCCACGTTGTTACTAAAGACCCCTTGAGGTCCGACTACAGTGTAACCCAAGTACTTTTACCATAATCCCAAGTACCTAGGGTCCCCCTTGAGTAGATAGAGCATGGCTTTGGGTGTATTATAATAAGATCCCCATATACACCAGATTCTATTTATTCAAGGTGGACTATAATTATTGGGTACTTGGACCTTGAGAAAGCCATCCGCCCGAACCAACTGCTCTGAGGCTGGAAGGCAGGCTCCGCCCAGGAGCCGTGTCACCAGCTCCATGACAATTACACCCAAGGCGTGTGGATATACATATAGTCCCCTTAAGTAGATAGAATATAGGGTATATTATATGGGGATCTTATTAGAATATACCCAAAGCCATATTCTATCTACTTAAGGGGGACTATGCATGAATTCCAGCTATCTGGAAAGATTGGTACCAATCGTTGTATTCACCCCGCTCCCTAAACCCGATACCCGATACCTGACCGAGATCCCTAGATCCCAAACCCTACGGCGTAAACCCTAGCCCTAAACCCTTAATCACACATTGTAAGCCCTAAATACTAACCCCCCAATCCCAAAGCCTAAATCCCTACTCCCTCAATGCTTTAATCCGGACACCCCAAAACCCCAAATCGCCCCAAACCCTAAACCCTAAAACCTTAAACCCTAAACCCTAAAGCTCTAAACCCCAAAACCCCAAACCCTAAACCCCAAAACGCAAACCCAAAACCGCCCTCGACCGGCCTGCTGCGGCGGCACTTCTGGTGAGTTTCTCAAGCCCAGGGGGTGGCGGTGGCTTCTTCTGGCCAGCGGGAAATGGGGGTTTCCCAAAATTAGGGGTACCTTTTTGGGGGTCCCCATAATAAGGACTATAGTATATTGGGGTCTATATTGGGGTCCCCTAATTTTGGGAAACTACCAAATATGAACTCAACCTATAAAGCGTTTGGGCTTGGGGTTAGGGCTCAAGGTTTAGGGCTAATAGGGTTTAGGGCTTCTGGGGCTTAGGGATTGTTAGTGAGGAATGAGGGGTATGAACAAGAAAACCTACAGGGCTTACACGGGTTTACAGGATGGGCATTTGGGATTCTGTTGCATGAGTGGTGTTTTGAAGCAATTAGTGTTCTGCAGTAGCTAAGCCAAGGATACCTGCATGCTTCATTACAAAATACGCAGGCCAGAGGAAGGATCGCATCTTACTCTCTAAACCCTGAAGCCCCAAAATCCTAAACCCTGAACCCTAAAGCAAGGCAGGCGCAAATAGAGTACTAGATGCCGCCTCAGACACGGGCGTGTCTTGACATTTTGGGCCCTCTCAACCCTGCCCAGATGAGACAACAGCATCTGAAGGAGCAAGGCCCCAATGGAGGTACTCAGTCTTCGAATAGACTCTGCATGTCCAAACAAGGGTGTTAGGTGGATGAGGATGGGCTTCGTTCAGAGTTTGCTCAGGACAAGAAACACAACACTGAGACAAATCTCTAAACACCCATAGAATGTCGAAAGATATACGCTCCCATGTATCACAGCCTGATTCCCAAACCCTATACCATGATGAAATACCTTAGAGAGAGCCCCGCCCGAACCCTAACGGTCCAAGTACTTAATCATCATATACTTACCCCAAACCCGTACTACAATTACTCCCAGGTACCTCATCATCAGGTACTTGGATCCTTAGGGCCCCAAGCCTTTAACCCTATCTATCCCTTTTAGGGGCCCTAAACCCTAAACGGTATATATCCCTTGAAGGGGCCCTAAACCCTAAAACCTAACCCAAAATTTTAGACCATAAGTAATAGTGGCAAAAATAAGAACATAACAGGACCCTAATATGATCCCTAGTATCCCTTATAGTCACTATTACTGGGCGGGGGGTCCACCTAACCTAAACCCAAGTACTCGGATCCTTAGTGGCAATGGAGCCCAGCGAGCCGGCACCATGTCGTTGAAGAGGCCCGGGAACTCGGAGAGAGTCAGCTTCAACTGTCGCTCCTGGTGTGGCAAACACCTAGAGCCTCCCTGAAGTAGATAGCTTTAGGGTTTAGGGTTTAGGATTTAAAGTATGGAGTTCTCCCGAAAAAAAAAACATAATAAGATCCCCATGCATCCCATATTCTATCTACCTAAGGAGGACTAAACTGGCTATAGAGAGGAAAATATAGACCTGCATACCTGGTATGGGTTCGCGATTCTCGCAACTGCGCAAGCCTACATCGTACAAGGATCGTAGGGGCCAAAGAGGTTGCAAAGGTTCCTGGTTGTGACTTTTGAACAGCTGTGATTTTGTTCCTGCTTTCTTGCGTAGCTTACTGGTTCTTAGTAGGGAATAGGGGAACATGATCCCCATATGTTCCCTATGTAATATATTCCCTTATTCCCTGCTAAGAAACGGGAAGATAGGTTTGAGGGCCCATGGCCTATGGGTTTGACTTTTGACTCCCTTGATCTTCTGGCACTTACCTTACATGTCCAACTACCTAATACATTATGTACTTGGGAGTTTGGTAATAGGAATTGTAGCACAGGTTCTGTGTAAATATGACTATTAAGTACTTGGAATGCTTGGGTGAAAGAATGGGCTCATGAAAGGCTTGCGCTGATGTTTATCCTGGTGCTCAAGACGAAGACCGCTGCCGGCGCTGATGATACTGAAGGTCATAATAATGCACAGGCAGGCTATCACCATGAGTACTTAGAAGGTAGGTAGACATTACATTTGAATGCCAACAGCCCTTAACCTCCAAACTTGCCCTTAGGGAAGTCCCGAATGATCATATACTCCCCCAAAACCTCTACTACCATTCCTGTTACCTGTTTCCCAAATCCCAAGTACCCTAAACCCTAAATCCTAAACCCTACACCCTAAATCCAAAACCCTAAACCCCAAACCCTAAATCCAAAACCCTACACCCTAAATCCAAAACCCTACACCCTAGACCTCATGAGTGTGCCTGCATTTCGGCCAGGGCCGTGGTAGACAGCTGTCCAGGCCCCAGGGCGGGCGTCGGCAGAGGAGCAGAGCTGGGGCGGAAGAGTTTAGGTTTTAGGCTTAAAGGTTTAAAGGTTTAAAGGCTTAGAGGGTTTAAGGTTTAGGGTTTAGGATTTAAGGTTTTTCTTTTTAGGGTTCAGGGTTTAGAGGGCTAGAGGTTGAAGAGGGTTTAGAGGGTTTAGTGTTCGGGATTTAGGGTTTAGGGTGTTCAGGTTTAGGGTTTGAGGTTTAAGGTTCGGGGTTCAGGGAGGTTTGAGTGTATGGGTATATCTATCCCTGAGGGTCCAAGTACATACAAATCATATATACGTACCCAAGACCTGTACTACAAGCACTGTTACCAAAATCCTAAGTACCTACTTAGGTACTTGGACCTTTAGGGCCCCAAACCCTAAACCCTATATGTCCCTATATACCCCTTTAAAGGGACCAACTGGATGTAACTATGGCGAAGGGTGAAGGGGCCTGAGTGGTTGGAATACGGGAAACCAAATGCAACATGCAATTAGACATCAAATTTTTAAGTTGGATTCTGCTGGGGCTACATTTAAACCCTAAACCCTAAACCCTAAATCGCTACATGAGGTTGTATGTCAGCACCTCAAGAATTGAAATGGTCTTGGATGGTCTCTACCATGGTTGTAAAGCAACACTAGGGGTACAGAATTTCGGAAGACTTCCAGGCTTTACATTGCCGGTGAGGGGGGGCCCCAGCTATAGAATAATGGCCTTGATCATTCTCGTTCTAGGTAGCTATGTTGCGAAACATTCGTGGCAACTACACTACCAGGCATGCGAGACTATAGAGCATTTCCTGGTTGCTACTTAGGATTTCCCCCTTCAACCCGAAAGCACGGACTTTCGGCCATGATTTTACCAGGCTCCAGGTAGCACCGATGTTGGAGTATGGAATGGAATTTCAAGTCCCCCCTGCAGGGATTGTAGGGTTTGGGGTTTAGGGCTTAGGGCAAGTTCCAGTTCGACCATCTAAGAATATTCTCACCCTATGGTTGTTTGCATAAGCAATGAGGTACCCCCAATTTTGGCAAACCCCCATATCATTCGTACGTAAGTTTGTATAAGTCAATATAACACAAAACCCTATGCCAAGCCAATAGTCCACTCCAGTTGTCTGTGGCCTCACTGCCGTCTTCGCCTTCTTGGAAGCTTGCCTCAACGCTGGCATCTCACAGTAAGCAAGGTACATAGATACATATCTATATATATATGTATATACATATATATATATATGTACATATATTTCTATGTGTATATAGTATTATATATATATATATACACACACATTTTGGGGGGGAAACTGCCACATCGTCACATGAGCCTCGGCTGAGAAGCCTGGCAGAGGTCGGGTGGCTAGAATGCCTTGTTACTAGACTCGACACCGTGTTGAAAACCAACTACCACGAATCACGAGGCCCCACAAACTAACATCAGAATCAAAACGGCAATATCCGGCGATATCTAGCACCTATATTCTTAATAGTTGTTGTGCACAATTTCAGAGCCGTACGGCGTTACAAACAATGTAGACCGTCTAGGAAAAAGACTGGCAATCTTTACTAAGAATGGGTACACTGATCGCCAGAAGTAATTGTCATGCACACCTGCTAGACCTTAAACCCCTGAACCCCAAACCGTACTTGGGTGGTTGTCAAAATTCTGAGCCCTTTTTGGGTACCCTAAATATTAGGTGCCGTATTATAATAGGGATCCAAAAAAGGCCCATAATTTTGAAAACCACCCACTTCCTAAACTCACAACTCACAACTGTGTACCACATGCCTGTCGGACCTGAGCTCGGAGCGCGCTGCTCAAAGCGGCTCGCTTCTGCGCAACTTTCTCCTGCACTGCTGTATAATGGATGGAGGATATCTTGCACCACTGGGGATCCCCAGAATACTGTAATGATTGGGGTTTTGGGTTTTGGATTTAGGGTGCAATAGGCATTGCAGGATTTCCTCCATTCAATGGTAGTTTCCCATATAGCGGCAACACAAGGTAGACCTAAAAGTATTCTAATCCGTATTACTGATGCAATGCAATTCTGGATTGGACACTGTAAGTGCCCGCTCAGGTTGAGCAAAACTCAGGGGGTTCATGTGAGCCATAGTCTAAACTCCAAGTATCCCCCTAATTAACCCCTATAGGCGCCCCCCTATATAATCCCCCATATAACCCCCCTCAAGGAGCTTAGACTAGAGCTCGTATGTAATCTTCCGGTATACCCCCAATGCTTGTACGAACATCCACTCTCCCACTCGCACTTTAGCACCTGCAAGGCAAGAGTGGGAAACTTTAAATACCCAGGGCTCCAAAAACCGATGACTGAAGCACTACAGAAATCTCAAATTACCATTACTTAAACATCCCAAAGCTAAACAAACATAACATTGAGGCCCGTCTAAGCCCAATAAAACCCCAGCATCTTCAAACTCTAAACCCTGTTCAGACCCTAAGTTGAGTACTGTCTACTGTCCTACTGCTCTATCAGATTCCCGAAGCTCTAAACCCTGCCCAGGACCCAAAAATCCTAAAGCTCCAAAGCTAACTCCTAAGACCTCAACCCTTGAACCCTAAAACTTTAAAGCCTAACAAACATAAACCTGACAAACCTATCCTTGGTCTCCCGCCTCGGCCAGGGCCGCCCGACCGCGAGCCTCCAATGCATTGAGCCTCAGCGGCGGAGGAGGAGGACGAGGAGGAGGAGGATGAGTAGCAGTAGTAGCAGTAGTAGCAGTAGCAGTAGCAGTAGCAGTAGCAGTAGCAGTAGCAGTAGCAGTAGCAGTAGTAGTAGTAGTAGTAGTAGCAGCAGCAGCAGCAGTGCTGGTGGGATTTCGAGTTGCAATAATGGTTATTACGATCAAAACTATTCCTGTTTGTCTTTTCTTTTTGCTGCTATTGTGCTCCAATCATGATCGAAGGGAAGAGGACAAGGACTAGCGGGGCGGGAGTAACAATCAAAAAGCAGGAGTATAGCGGAAGTACCGCTACTCCTGCTACTTTTGCAACTTTATATGGCCAATGTAGTCAAGCTCGGAAAAAATCGGTGATGTAAATTTTCTAGAATTTGGTCTCCTCACGTGGACGACTGCGAAGTTCAGAAAAACCGCCTGACCGAGGAATCTTCTTTTTCTGTTTGCCTATGAAGGAGCTCAAATGGATCTACAGCTTTAAGGAAACTGGATTTCTTAACTGTATATCCACATCATTGCAGCATAGTTGAAGTTGCTCAACAGCAGGCTGTTCAGCTGCTTGAGGTAGAAAAGAGATCATCATGGCGGGAACTCCCAATCTGGCTGCAGTCCCAAAAGAAACCTCCGGCCCAATAAAGAAACCCTCCTTAACCCTAAACCCTACACCCTAAACCCATAAGCCCTAGACCCTAGACTCTAAACCCTACACCCTAAACGGCTTCTGAAGCGAAGAAAGTCAACTCGAGAGCCTTCAGCAAAAGGAAGAGCATGCAAAGCAGAAAAAATACTGGTGAGCAGATCCTACTGCTGCACGGCGTAAAGGTCTCATGGTGTAATCTAGGGGCCGGCTGAACTAGAACTTAGAGTATGTTACTATAGTTCTGTAAGGGTTAGAAGGGACTTCTCTCCTTCCAAAAGGTTTCTTTCTGGAATGCACCTTGAGCACACTGAACTAACACAACCCCAACATCCCTAAAACCCTAAGCCCTTAACCTCTTAGCCCCTCAACCCCTCAGCCCTTAAGCGCTTAACCCCTAAACCCTGCGTTCAAGGCTGACACTCAGTCAGAATCTCGTTGAGGTCCGTCTCCCATAGCTCCTCCAGGCGAGTGTATAGGAGGGGTTGTTAAAAAGGTGGTTTAGGGGTACCCTGGCCCTAAACCCTAAACCCTAAACCCTAAACCCTAACCTTCAACTCTAAGCCCGAAATATGAACAGCCGCAACAAAATGCAAGCGACAAGCGACCACTATGTTTGACAGGGATAGCAGTAGTTCAGCCTATGACTCATGTGGAAGTGGAAAGTAAATTATGCCGACTCCTTCAGAAACAGGAGTGAGCACTCCTGGCACTCAAGACAGGCCATGAACGGATGCCCCTTGTGTCCTACAACCTACGTAAAGGTCCAAGTACTTAATAGACATATTCATATGGGTAGTTTCCAAAATTAGGGTGCCTTTGTTGGTGCCCCTAAACATTAGGTGCGACAGTATAATCTGTAACCAAAAGGGGCCCATACTTTTGAGAACAACCTACATACTTACCGAACACCTGTACTACAATTGCTCTTGCCAAAATCCCGTCTACCCAATTATTGGGCTTTTGCACCTTTAGAGCCCTGACCCTGAACCGTACATATCCATATTTCCTGATATGTCCCCATATTCCCCCGTATACCCTTTAAACCTAATAAAGGGATCTGACGGTGTGTGACTATGCGTCACCTGAGGATCTCAGAAAGGGCGTGGCAGAGGGATTTCGTGTGCAGGGCACAGCCCCAGAACACGGCTTAATTTAGGGTTTAGGCCTACGTAGTGGCAAAGAAAATGGAAGCTAGAATATTTTAGGGTTCAACAGGGATTGTCTAAAGGTTTAGGGTTGAGGGTTTAGGCCTACATTAGTTAGAGTTTAGGGTTTAGGGTTGAAGGTGTCCCATGAAGCCGTGTACCAAAACCCTCGCGTACCCAAGTGGGGCTATAGGATCCCCAATACTGAGTACACATTCCTGAATTCTTAACAGAGGGTAGTTGGAAGGTCTAGGTATTTTTTTTACATATCATGACATATCCTCATAATAAGTCAGCGGGCCCCCCTACGACCCTAAAGCCCCGAAATGTACTATAATCTGCACAACAGACTCCCTAACAAAGTATCCACTCTATTTTGTCGAAACCCAAGCACAAAGGGGCCTCTGGAGCTGTGCACTCGAGCTTGTGAAGCTCTGCCTTCAGTATGTTAACCATGGGCCATTTGTGGGGCCCCTAAGTTCGGGATCCTAGTATTGACTTAACAAAGGGCTGATCAGATTGCGTACTGTAGGGATTCTGGCTGGGAAAGGGCCTATTCTTCTGCTACAATACTGATTTGTGGTGGCAGCAGCACTGGTTCTTGCTCCAGGAGTATGACTCATCCACTTACTGCTCGTTCTCCAATGAAAAGCTTGACAGCATCTCTACAGGATGCTGTGTGCTGCGCCAAGCCGCTGCACCACACTCTGTCCTAGCGCGATGTGCTATGCCTAATGATGTGCTTTTCCAAACATCACACGATACTTCACTGCACTGCGATAGAACTCCTTTGCGCTGTGCAACCAGATACCATACTGTCGCGATTGACGGTGAAGATGCTACGATTATGATCGGGACCACCAGAAGCGACCCCATCCAATCCAAATGTTCCCTCGGTAAACATACTGCGGAGCATTTCTCTTACAGCTAGACCCTAGGCCCTACACCATAAACCTCAAATTGAAAATCTCCTAAAGCCCACATCCCACGCTCTAAACCCTGAAGCCCTAAACCACAGATGTAATCTTGACAATCTTGAATAATCAGCTCTGGTGATGCTTGAAGGTATGCCTGCTTCTCCTTGAGCTGGGCAAGAAGGTTGGCCACTCGCTCCGCGGTGAGCGACCTTAGTGAATCATGAGGCTCATAGTAAAGGGAATTATGGTAACACCAGCCCCTACATTGGAGAAAAACATGGAATATCATATGGAAAATGAAATGAAAGCTGCGGTTCTGTATGTATATATATATATATACTAGGTACTGAGATGGTTTTGGTAACCCCAACCCCAGCATCTATAACTAGCATATGACTATAGAGGGTTCTACAATGGGGTGTTGCGTTACCAAAATCCTCCCGGAAGCTTTACTGATATTCAAGTAGGGAGAATGATGCAGTACTGTAGGTTGTTTTCTTTCCTCGCTAAGCACCTTTGGGGATTGAATGGCTGAGAAATCAGGATTCAAGTTTTAAGGTTTGGGGTTTAGGGGTTCCAAGTGTTGATTGCAGGTTCGAATTAGGGTTCATAGGGTTTAGTTTGTTTGAATTCGGGTTTTGTCAGATACCCAGGCGATTCTGGGCCCTAGCGGCTTTGGAGTTAGGGCCAAATGGCGCCGAGGAGTCCTTTATGGCGCGAGATCCAAGCTTGCTTGAAGGTCCATGGTTAGTAACTGAGTATAAGCAGGAAGATTCGGGGTAGTCCTAATGGTAATTGGGATAGTGCTTCTCTTCATAGTCTGCTTTAAGGGACTTACGTCTAAGCCCACCACAAACTATCCGCCAACCTTTAAGCGAGCTATAGTCTAAACTCCTAGTAGTAAAATGACATAGCTGAGTCCTACAACAAGCGTTTAGGGCATAGGACTCCTACACCCTAAAACCTTCAAATATCTTCAACATGACCTGGATCCTTAGTCTGGATGCCTGTGATTGGCATCGGGATTTATGGGAAACGCTGCTTAGATGAAAAAGACCAGCCTGAACTTATAACACTAAATTCCCACAGCTTCCAAAGGCATAGGGGCTCAGGTTCATGAAGGATTTCTGGCATCCACCCAAAACCCGAATCCTTGAGCCCTGCTCCCTAAACCCTACTGCCCCAAATAAAGCGCTTAGGGCCAGGCCAAATGGGCATTCCCAGCAAGTACTCCCAGGCCTTTCCTTGAGATCCCTCCGACGCATCGACCTCTTCACCTTCAGGGCGTTAAAAACGGGGAAGCATTAAACCCTAAGAGCCTAAAACAAGAGCAAACCTCAATACCCTAGATGGGCTATAGTCTAAACTCCTAGTATCCTCCTGAATAACCAATATAATACTCCCGAAGTAACCCTCCAAATCCCCCTTGAAAGAGTTTAGACTATAGCTCACATGGCTTAGTAGTTTAGTGTCTAGGCTGTAAGATTTTGAGGCTTAGGTTGCCAATTTTGCTGGTTCAGGTTGCAAGCTTTTAGGGTATTTGTTGACAGGATAGAGGGGCTTGGGGTTTTAGGGTTTGGGGGGCGAGGTTACCAGGACATAGGCCGCACATCGCACGCTTACACGGTTTAGGCTGTGAGGAGATAGGGTCTCGGCTGTGCCATAAGTCCTGAAACCTAGACCTTAGGACCTTGAACGCTGACTCATACTGCCTAAGGATCCAAGGACTCAAGTAATGGGGCTTCAGGGCCCAAATACTACAATCTGAATGGTATTTGGGACCTAAAGCCTTAAAATCTGGGTTTGTTGACCCTCAAGGATTGCCAAGAATCCTTTCGAGATCAACTGCTACACACAGCACCGCTCCTTCCGTGATCTCCCGGAGGGTCTTGAAGCCATGCTTGCGCAGGTCCTGAACAGACCAACTTGTGTTTCTTCCGCGTTTGGTTTACTTACAGGTTCTTAGTATGGAATAAGGGAACATAATCCCTTTAACTTATACATAATCCCTACATATCCCCATGCTCCCTACTAGCCCCTAGTAAGTTGAAACTTGAGTTGAGGATTTACTGTTGAGGGCTTTCAGTATGACTGCGTATCGGATTCCAAGATTAAGGTCAAGGAGTCGGTTTTCAGAGGGTAGGGCATTGATGAGGTGCTTGGTCTTTGAGAGGACTACTCCAAGAATTACACGTCATGTTGCTCGTCGCTGGCTTTATCCTTGAAGATGTTTTGAGAGCTGTGTAGTACTGGCGCAGACGCAGGCTTCGATAGTACAAGTAAGTACAGGGACAGACGGACTTGTGAGTAGGCTGATGATGGGGATAACTGGGGTTAATATGGTTAGGTGGGGTAAAAAGTCTACTTACCAAGTCCCCCTGACAATCCAAGTAGGCACGTTCTGCTGGCTAGTGGATCATCCCAAAACAAAACCGTTGATTTCCCAAGGTTACCCAATTTCTTTATACGATAATCTCTAAACCCTATACAGCCCTGAAGCCTAGACCCTAAACCCATGCTGCTCCAAAAAAGTCTGAGGTTGCCTCCTGTACAGGCAAGAATCTCACTGCCACTGACTTGCTCGCCACGACTAGTGTGCTTTGCTATGGGAAGCGGAGCCCGGTCTGAATCTTGAATGCAAACTGGTTGAAGCCCCAGGCCCAAAACCCAACTGTAAAAACAAAGCAGCAGAATCCCTACAGCAAAAACATGAATGGGTGCGTGCAGGTGCCTCAATCAAGACATCTTTCTTACGGTTCTTCACTTTGAGCTTCTCGTCAATGACCTGCCAAGGGATCAGGCAGGCCATAATGTCGGAATCATAATCGATGGAGTCCAGAATGTCGGATGACCCTCCCAGTTTGAGACTTACGTAAGTGTGGCTGAGCTGGTGTTGTTCAATTTCTCAGCTGCTAATTCCTCATCGTTGCCAACTTGCTGGCATTAAAGCATCCTCCTCAAAATGTTGATGCGCTCTTTGGGCGACGAAAGCTGCGAGGCTCAAACTGTGAGTTACACAGTGAAATACATGCTCACAGAACAAATTTTACAAGACATCAATTAGATTATAATCTGCCTTCCACTTGAAGACAACTCACAGCTGGAGTGAATGTGGGGAAAGCAAGACACGCTCTAGGGTTTAAAGCTTAGGCGAAATCAACATGCAGGTATAGATGGAAGACCTATGCAGCACATATTAACTTCATCCAACCTGTGGCACTATTTCAAGAAAGACTGGTGATCCTAATCAGGATGCAAACCCTAGCCCCGTACAGTTGCTGCATAGCTTGAGCACAAGCCTCGAAAATGGATAACCCGCTGTACTGCCCTTAACATATTGAGAAGGACTTAAGGTACCCTATACCATAATTGTACAAGGAATCTAGGACCACAATTTTGTAACCCTAAACCCCAAACCCTAAACTCTACATTAGCAAGTCTACACCAAGCTATAACTCCATTCTTCGGCTTTGTTGACCGCCAGTTCTCGTTCAATGTTCGCCCGGGAGCAGTCCTAACATACTTGCCTACAGACCTTCTGCGGAGATCCTACATAGACTTACGGGGGGTTAGGGGGAATAAGGGAATCTTTTATGTAGGGGCTTTGCAGGGATTATATTCACTTCTTCCCTACTAAGCCCCAGTAAGTTGATATCTGTGAAAACTATCATCCGCATCTCGGGAATCTCAGCGCCGACGCAAATCTAAGACTGTGCAAGGAGGCTCTCTGATGACAACGAGCCTTATAGTCTCCACTACATTGTACCATGATCCGTCTGGGGCCTCTTTAGCTCTTATTTAATAAAGGCCCTGTAAGGAAGCTCAGCTTGATTGCCTAAAACCGCAAAGGGTTTCTCGCGAATAGGTTCCTAGGGTTAAGGGTTTAGGGGATTTGGGTTTAGGGATGCATGTCAACCTAAAGCCTAAACCCTACGTCCTATTCCAACAACAGCTCTTGGCTAAAGGCCTCCTGAATGAACCGAGCCTTTGCTGCGAGAATCTCAGCCTCGATCCTGAAGTTCTTGAAGGTGTTGAGAGGTTTAGGGTTGAGGGGTTTGGGGGTTTAGGGTTCAGGGTTTGAGGGGTGTAGGGTTTAGGGGTTTGGGGGTTCAGCGGTTGAGGGGCTTAGTGTCTAGGGTAGGGGTCCGCATATATGAGTGACATCAAATACTTCTTATAAAGTTAATGGAACCTGAAAAGGAACTTAGGGTCGTCTAGGGTATTACAGCGGTCATAGGGGTTCATATATCCCATATGATGAATCGACATGGGCTCCTATGAGGAATTTGTTCGGTCCCATACCAAACTACCAAAGGCACCTTTATTAATCAGGGGCAATAGCTCAAATGCAGTCTTCCCAAAGTGAAGGGGCATTGAATAACCCTAAGCCCCTGGAGTCTAGGCCTGATCCCCTACAGCAGGAACTCCCACCACCATTGGGGATCAAAGAGGTTCGTGTATAGGGTCCCCTATTCAAGCCAATTGACCCTAAACTCTAAGCCCTAAATCTTAAACCCGAAATACTAAATATCCCAGGAGGCTACCCCGAGGCCAAACACACCTGAACAGGAGGGTATACGAAGGGATGGCTCGAAAGAGGGATCCTCCAGAACCAGAGGGACATGATGTGGAGTTTAGGGTTTAGGGACTAGGCTTTAGGGTCCCCTCCCTCAGTAATAGTGACTGTAAGGGATAAAGGTGATTATAGTAGTATACACTATTACAGGGTGAGGGGATCCTCCTAATAGATTCCTCTTGAAGGGCTTATGTATGCACCAGTCAGCAAAATATGATTACCCGTGGTAATTGCTTTCTAGGGATCATGTTGAGCAACTCCCATAGGTCGTCTTACCCCTCATAGGGAGCGCGATCATGAGAGTTGAAATCCGGCATTTCCAATATGCATGGTCCCCCTGATTTCCCCCAATGTTACTCTTGATACGAAAAATCCTCTCTTTGGATCCCTATTATAATACGGCACCTAATATTTAGGTACTCCAAAAAGGGACCATAATTTTGACAACCACCCACCTGAATGCACCACAGTGCCATAATTCCCAAGGTGTAGGCTTCTTCGGGTCATGCAGGAGTGTTAGTATCCACCGTATCACCCTGCCTATATCCCCTTTCAGGGGACGCTCCTAATGCACGAGGTAGAAAACTGAAAAGTTACCAACATCATGTTGAAGGCTATTTGAGGTACGATACTCTATATTTTGATTCTGTGAGGAATCTAGGACGCTAATGTTGGAAATCATGCCATCATATCCCATTAGATCCCCTTAAAAGCACAGTGTCCAGTTCACTCTCCATTGTTGGGGGTATACCCCAATCCCTATATTACGCCTCTATACTCCGTATATAAACTCCCAAAAACCCTGCAACATCCCCATGATCTGCTGAAAAAGAATGGAAAATTCCTCAGACCCTGTACCCAAAACCTATACCCGGTTTAGGGCTTAGGGTTTCAACCCTAAACCCTAGACCCAAAACCGTATGTGGCTGAGGCTTTCACCGTAGGACTTTCACCAGGTGAGCCTTGCGCTTGTGATAGTACCTCGGATGGCGGATGAAGAGTTTAGGATTGAGGGGATCGAGGCTTTAGGGGCTGAGCTGCTAGGTTTATAGTCTCCCTTAAGTAGATAGAATATGGGTTAAATGGGGATCTTATTATAACATACCCAAGGCTATATTCTATCTACTTCAGGGGGACTTTAAGGTCTGAATCAAAATGTCCGCTATACCCTCGGGATTGAAGTGTACAAACCATTCCGAGTTGGGTTTGCAGCAGACACACTGCCGAATCTTGATATACATATATATATATGTATATGTATATCTACATGACCTTACATAATCACTGGTAGCCCTATGCACAAATATGCACACATGTCTTCCCGAGTGGGAGAAGGAATATAGGAGGCAACTTCGCTGGAGATCTTCTTTCTACTGGAGTGGGAAATATGGGGATACATAGGATCCACAAGCGTGGCATGGGTTGGATAAGATCTACAAAGACATGACTTTAATTTTGCGCCCTTAATGTTTGTAACCTTAGGTTTTGGTTCTCAAATATCTTCGTGAGGGGCTATATTCCATTGTTTGCAGCGTGCTGATCCAAACCTGGGGGCAAACCCTAAACGTACACAGGACAACTCCCTCATTCTTACCCTTCAAAGCTACGATGCATGTTGCTAGCATTACCTGCTGTGCTTACCTGTGCCATGGCTGCACAGTCATCCCTACAAACGTGACACAACAGCCTCTGGCCTATGCTAAGCTGCTAAACACCAATTTCTGAGATATTATCCATTTGCTGGTCCGTTTGAATGTGAACTCTTCCTGGCCTAGACCATGCGGGAGGTTTGCAAGAATTGGGGGTAACATTTTGCGGGTCCCCATAATAAGGCGGCTTATGATATATTGAGGCGTATTGGGGGGCGGCTTATGATATATTGAGGCGTATTTGGGGTCCCCCTATTTATGGAAACTACCATATGCCGTCTGTACCCCATGTAGCTTGTCTAACCCTAGGACCCCTTCTTGAACCAAAAGCTGCCGAACCCTAACCACGAAGCCCTAAACCATCAACCCCTACACCCTGAACCTCTAAATCGTGAACCCTAAACCCTGAACCCCGCAAACCCTAAACCTCACACCCTAAAACCCTTGTTCCTAAACCCTAAACCCTCTATAACCCCAATATACTATAGCAGTGTCCATTTTCTTTTCCATAATCCCAATATATACATACATATATATATATAACCCAAATATAACCCCTATCTTATCCCAATATTCCCTGTAGTTTCCATGTTCTTTTCCATCATCGCCTATACATATAAACCCTAAACTCCAAAAAGCCACTGCACTGAGCCTGGGCCCTGGGCTCGAGCCTTAACTCTGCAAACTCCTCAAGGATGTTCCTCTCATCAGCATAGCGCCTGGGAAGGGTTTAGGGCCTTAGGGTTTAGGGTTTAAGGCCTTAGGGTATTTTGTAGGGGTATACGGGAGATGTGGTAGGAACATAGAATACTGGGATATGTTAGCTCTAGGGTTTTGGGGGGAGGAACGAACAAGAAATGGAGGCTACTTATCAAGATCCTTACGCTGGATACTAAAAAACCCACATGGCCCAAAGTGCCTTGAAGCTTGAGAAGTATGGTGCTGTAGTACATTGAGGGGCATGCGTGAAGCTACCGTCCTTAGGCTACATGCCCTTGCAATAATTGGTTGGGCTTCGGGGGCATATACATATACACACATTTTAAGCTACTTGTATATATAGACATATCTGCACACTTCTCCAATTATCTATATACATAATACATATATATATATAGGTCAAGAGCTATCAGGTACTGCAACATTTAGGGATCACTGTACAGTTTACAGTCACCGGCCTCCAAACTTATCCACATGGCAAGCTTGCAACCCAGCTTTGTCTTACTAGTGGTTCAGGGTTTAGGAGGGATATAAACTCAGGGGTTATGTAGGGGGTTATCCCTTCTTGCCCCCAAAAAGTTTTTGGAGGGGACAGCTCGCTTGTGTACCTCTATTCATCCCTAGACAGCCACTCCGTCCCGAAATGAACTTCTAGATAGCCCCTTCACTTTAACAATAGAAAGTCTTCGTTTTTTGTATATCCCAGTCATATTTAGGCTAGCAACAATGTACTCATCCCTTAAAACATTTTACCAGATTTCTGCCCATTCCCTGGGTTCCTGCTCAGGACCTCAAAACTAACTTACCACAATGTGGGCACAACATATGAATATACATGTGAATATTAAGCATGATCCGTCTTTTTAATGCATTGGCATGGCATTTTAAGCTAAAGTTCTTATCAGCCCCCCGAATCTTGCTGCCTGAGCTACGCCTGCCCCAAGAAGCTAGCTTGGGTTCCAGGCTTAATCTTGCCATCCTTGTCGAAGAAGATCCTCAGTAGTTTTTTGGTCGCGCATAATTCCATCTGCGCGAGTGCTTTAGGACGGTCCGCTAGGTAGGGCTTTGGGTTTAGGGTAAGCACACTATTTGGAACCTCCTAAGGTATAGGAACGTACAACTTGCTCTACAAATTTCACTGGCTGTTGGCACGGAATGGAGGAATGGATCCCTATAGTAGGCCTCCTATTTAATTACCATTCAGAGAGAAGTGCCAATGTTCTTTGCCATTCGCTAAAATGAAAATAAAAGAGCCCATTGCTTTTCCATTCCTTCATAAGCTTGCGTGAGAGCTTCTGACTATAAACTCCTGTGACACTATAAGGGGGTTCAGTCCTGACAGGCTGCAGGGCCTACATAGGAATTTGGGGTTTAAGGTTTAGGGACTTCTAGAACTTTCTAAAAGTCGACAATGACACTGAAACTGGGATTGTATAGGGGTTTATAGGCAGGGAGGTATACCGCTCTTGTGTTAGACAAGGGTCAAACAGGAATAATGTGGACAGTTGCTGGGAATGGAAATGGTTTCTGAAAAGAGGCCGTGGAAAAAGCTGAAGGTTATGTCTGCTTGTGAAAGCAGCAGGCTATTTGATAGCCAAACTAGGTATGAATGTTATGAAACCTTAGCGCTGCCTGTAACTCTATCAAACCCTATGTAGTGCAAGACTATGAGAGGCTTTAGGATATTTCCCAACGCAGAACCATACTCATAAGGACTCTTGCAGGATTTCCTTTTGGGATGCTGCCATCCCAACCATGTTTACATTAACCCTCTCAACCTCCATAAACAACTGTCAGTACAAGTGCGGGCACAACCCCGTTTCTTGAACCAGGCTTTTCCAGCCATCTTCTCTCTAAGCGGAAGGTTCAAAGAAGGAGGGGGGCCTTGGTAAAGGTCCTCATCATTAAATGAGAACACTAAGCCCTGAACCCTTAAACTCTAAACCCTTTAAACCGTAAAAACTAGAACCTAAAACCCTGAAATCCTAAATCCTAAACCCTCAGAACCTAAAAAACTACAACCCTAAAACCCTCAAACCCTAAACCAAACACCGCTCAGAAAAGAGCATGTTGTTTGTCGACAGCGAGCTCCGGAGCTTGAAGGACTTCTCCAGTCCTCCGTTCTTCAGGATCATGTGAGGCGGTTTAGGGTTCAGGGTCTAGGGATCATTTGAGCTTTTGTCAGTACTTCTGATATACATACTATAGTATTTTGGGGTGATATTATTATGGGGATAATGGAAAAGAAAATGGAAACTACTATAGTATTTTGGGGTGATCTTATTGTAGGGATAATGGAAAATAAAATGGCAACTACTATAATGGTAGATATATCCACTCCGCAACTCCACCTCAAGCACTAGTAGGTTGAACAGTCCGGGTGGTCCTATGTACTCGTGGGCCTTCATCTGCTCCTGCAGGGAACATTCGCCATATGTTGTAAGGAGCCTGGTGCTGATGCAACATGTCCTCTGTGACTGTGATGATGAAGTGGACCGTCACCTGACGGAACTGCAGCACAAGGTGGAGCATCCAGCTGGGTTTGCGCGAAAGACATATCAGCCATGCAAGATTTTCGCGTGCAAAAAGGCTGCAGAAACATGCCAGTGATTCCTCGGTATGGCACTCCTGCAGCATGTACCCAGCAACATGCAGACAAGAGCTATGCCGGTAGCATTTGCAGGCAGTCTGCCAGGTTTGCAGAACATTGTCCTGAAAGCCTGGAGTTAGATCTTGAGTCTGAGCTGTTCAGGTTTAGGGTTTGTGGTTTGGGGCTCATGCCGAGAAATTTGCACAGCTTGGGGCTTGGGATATCTGAGTTCGCGTCATGTCAACAAACACAGATATTTGAGTGGTGCTGGCCCGATATATCCCTACATCTAACATAGTCACTGCAGTCCCTGTAAAGGGAGCCCTGTCAATCTCAGGTTGTGCTACACCATGGTATCCCGGGATAACACACACAATACAATACCATCCGCTCTTTAAAGTTACTCCCGTTTAAGAAGCTAATAAAGACCACATGAGTGTAATAGGGCCCTGCAAAATTTCATAAATTTTGGCAGAAGTATCAAAAAAATCTGACTACAGTAGGCTTGGGGCGGGATTCCGTGAGAGCGAGGCTCTATAGCATGGGCTAGTCTTGCAACCCTGAGCAAAGCCCGGACCATAACCCTAAACCCTAAGCCCTGAACCCTAAACCCAACCCTAAACCCTGAACCCCAAACCCTAGACCTTAGGAGGACCCCCCCAACCCTGTAATAGTGGTATAATAGGAATATAACAGGACCCTAATATAATCCTTATATAGTATTCCTTATAGTCACTATTACTGGTTGGGGGGTCCACCTAACCCAGACCTTTGACAGGGTTCTCCTTGAAGTCTTCGATCTGGCCGGTACCGGGCCCGTCGGTCGACAGCATGGGCTGCAAGCAACGCGGGTTTAGGGTGTGGGGTCTGGTGTTGAGTTTAAATGTGTTGTTCTTTCTGATTTTTTGTTTTTTTTGGGGGGTGGTGTGGGTTGGCTTTGGGGTGAGGGTTTGGGGTTTTGGGTTGGGAGTTTGTGGCTTTGAGCTTTTGGGGTTCAGGTTCGTAGTTGCTTTTGCTTTTTGGTGTCTGCTGTAGGAACCTTGGGGTTTACGGCATCGTACTGGAGAATCTTGACTCATGGTGGGCAGTAGCTGCCAAGGGGGAATGGGATATTGTCGCCTACCTGCATACATACTGATACTGCTGTTGCTGCTGCTGCCGCCGCCGCTGCTAAGCCCTATACCCTATGTAAACCCTCAACGCTGAACCCTATATATCAGCTATAGGCTATAGTCTAGACTCCAAGTATCCCCCTTAATATCCCCTTTATCAGGCTCCCCTATATAACCCCCTTCAATGAGTTTAGACTATAGCTCATATAGACCCTGAACCCTGAAACCTGTTGCTGCTGTTCTTACACTGCAGCCTGCACAGCAGCTATAGTCCCCCTTAAGTAGATAGAATCTGGCTTTGGATATATTATAATAATCAGATCCTCCTATACCCCATATTCTACCTACTTAAGGGGGGCTATGGGTGGAGTCTGCAGCTTCAGGTTTCCGCGGAATTTTTCGTGGCAGACGACACGACAATCCCGGTAAAACCTCCCTCACAGAGTTTTGGGTTTAGGGTTTAAGGTTTAGGGCCTAGTCCCCTGAGCCCTAAAGCCTGCCTGAACACTACCCACCATATGTACTGCCTTGGCGCATACTGTACTATAAACTTGCGACATATGAAACAACTGAATTGACAGCGTGAAAGGAACACATGAGCTGCTGCGTTGAGTTAACCCAACATTTGAAGTGCCCGGAAAGTAACTACATAGGAGACCCTGAATCCTAAGCCCGAATCCTAGCTTCATGAAGGCCTGGAGCACGGCCTCCTTGTAGTCCTGCCAGGGACCAAGCATCATGGGCACTGGGGCATGAAAGCTTCGAATAGGGTTTTGGCGGTAAACTACTCTACCACAGTCCTAGTGGGTGGTATACGAATCAGGCACGCGGTTTGGGGTTTAGGGTCTAAGGCTATAACCACACCTCTAAAATCCTACTAAACCCTCTAGGTCCCGAGCCCCAAAATACTAGAATCCTCCCCAACATGGTATCCCTAGGTTTGGGAAACCCCCATATAGGGGTTCATGAAGGTATTTGGGCCCTGCGCCTGGGTCCACTTCTTGATGGGGAGCTCAGTGATCTCCAAGGTTGTAGGCCCCCGCCTCCCATGATAGGTTTGGGGTTTAGGGCTTAGGGTTAGGGGATTAGGGCTTTGGGTTTACGGCTTAGGGCTTGAGTTTGGGCCTTAGGGTTTAGGGCTTATGGTTTGAGGCCAAAACAAGTTGAACAGGCTCAGGGGTCTGCATGTTGTTCATACTGGAGAAGAAAGTAAGTAAGAACACGACAAAATGACAAATCAAATGGAAACAGAGGTCATGTAGGAATCTGAATACGGCTTGCTGTAAATCAGGAATATCGGGGAACACTGTTGCTAAAAGCTCAGGCTTTCACAGTAACGAGGGTTCACAATCTTGGGGTGGGCACCGTTAGGTTGTTTAAAGGGCGTTAGGTTGTTTAAAGGGAGTTGCAGGGATGTGAAAGGGTTTCGGGTTTAGACACTATGGGAGTTCGGTAAAGTAGCCGTACTCCCAGAATGCCAGGGACGTATGGAGATTGTGCAAAACTTTCTGATTGATCATGTAACTTCACACAGAAGATCCCATGTTCGAAAGCACGCCTTCTTTCCGCTTTGCGGCTTTGACAGTTGTCAAACCCTAAACCCTAAACCCTAAACTTCAGATACATACGCAACACGAGCTGTTTCCGTGATAAGGGTCCCATTCTGGCACTCCAGAAGGTTAGGGTTCATGGCATTCCAAGTGGAATCCATCAGATTGTAACCTCACAACACATAGGTATCTCGAGGCACTAGATCCTACACCCGACCACCGCACCCCAAATCCTGAGCCTTACACCCTAAAAATTCCAAATCCTAAATTCTAAGCCTACACCCTAAACCCTAAACCCTACATCCTAAAACCTAAAGCCTAAATCCTTAACCCTAAACCCAAACATCCTAGACACCTACAGTATATACCCCTAAGGATCCACGGACCCAAATAATAGGGCTTTAGGGCCCAAATACCATTAATAGTACAGTATTTGGGCCCTAAAACCCTCTTATTTGGGTCCTTGGACCCTTAAGGTACCTCTCTGGGGCCCCAACTTCTCGATAACACCGACGGACTCGTAGCCAACCTTGTCCGGGGACCTCGTCCGTGTAACCGTGAAGTGCATATCATTCTCCAGTAGGGTTTAGGGCAGTTTAGGATTTCGGGTGCGGGGTTTAGAATGTGGAGTCTCGGGTTTAGGGTTTCGGGTTTAAGGTTCAGGGTTTAGTGTTTCGGGTTTAGGGTTGAGGCTGGTTTTGGGTGCGCATACTTCCTTGTATGCATGGGCATACCTTTGCCCCTCCCTCTCTGTCATAAGGAAGTTGCACCATACCTTTCGGTGTATGTCCTTTACATGTATTTTCGTAAAACTCCTCCCTCCTATTCCTTCCCGAAAGGGTCCTAAGTAATTATATAGAGGATACTAACCCAACCCATTTTGTATTTCTCTAGTATAGAAACCCTCATTCTACCATATAAGCCATAGTCTAAGCTCCTAGTATCCCCCTTAATAACCCCTATAAGACTGCCTACATAATCCCCTGTACAACCCCCTGTAAGGAGTTTAGAGTATGGCCCATACAGATACGTAGGATCCGACGGGCTCCTTCCTTGGTAACACCCTATAGCCTAAACTTAGCCCACATTATCCTAGGAAGAAAAAGGCTCCTTTGTGCATAAGTACAAGTCCCATACCCCAAAGAAGTATAAAGGATCCCTAGCATTGATCCAGTAACTCCTGAACCCTAAACCTTAATAGTCCTAAACCCTAAACCCCAAGTCCTAAACCCTAAACCCAACACCCAAACAACAATGGGAGGGCATAGGATGCAGGCAAGACGAGGCTGCCCTTGAAGCCGGCATACCAGGGGCACATGTCCTCATGAAGAGTGAGCTTGAGTCTCCACTAGAGTTTAGGGTTTAGGACTTAGAGCTTTGGATTTAGGTTTCATGGCTTAGGATTTAGGATTTAGGGTTTAGGATTTAAGGTTTAGGACTTTGTGTTTAGGGCTTAGGATTTAGGGCCTAATTTAGGGTTTAAGGTTTAGGATTTAGGGTTTAGGATCTAAAGCGTAGGGCGCTAAATGCCAATCCCTGAACCCTTGGTCTGAACCTTAATCCAACCTTGGATCCTGAAACCTGAGCACTACATTAAGCCCTAAAACCTTGAACCCTAGACCCTACCCTAGGTGGACCCCCAGCCAGTAATAGTGACTATGGTGACAACATTTGGGTCCTCTTATTTTCTTTTTGTACCACTATTGCAGGGTGGGTGGGGGTAAACCCTAAACCCTAAACTTTACCCAACAGGCCCAAATGCATGCATGGAGCAGTCCTGAACTGGCTGGCAGCGGAGATACCTGCACACCAAACACACCCCAGATAGCCCCTGTATGTTTTATTCCCTTCTTCCCTACTAAGAGCCAGTAAGCTAAGGATCCCTGTACCCGATAATGGAGAGTCAAATGGAAGGTGAAATGGCAAATCACGTAGAAACTTGGTGTATACAGCATGTTTGGGGTGGATCGTAGTGGTCTTCGAGCTTTGGGGACATGTTATACGCCATAGTCTTATATGGGTACCAAGGGGATGATGTTGGCAAATCTATTGGGGCCTCTCTTTAGTCTTCAGGAGTCAATTTGGGGCATCCTTTGATTTGGCACCTGCGAGCTCCAGGTCCCTAAGGGTCCAAATACCAAATAAGGGTTTAGGGTTTAGGGTCTTTTTTTTAGGGGTTCAGGGTTTAGGGTTTAGGGTTTTTTTTTAGGGGTTGAGGGTTTAGGGTTTAGGGTCAAATAGTCATATACTTACCCAAAACCTGTAGTTTACTATGGGAACTAATGCCAAATCCAGAGCACTCAAGTCTTGGGAATATGGACCCCTAGGGATAAAAATTGAAATATATGTATAGTACATCCTTCAGCTATTCAACATAGACCCAGATAGCCGAGCCTCATATAACTTTCTTGCAGCCCCAAACCCTAAACCCTGCAATCTTCTCATGGCCCCCTTTGAGGTTCCATGCTGGTGTGGGGGACAGGTACTCTTCTGGTCTAAAATTGAAACCAGGGGCCCTTAACCCTGGGATACCTACTATGTACGGACCTTTAACAGCACTTAGAATCCCCCTAAAAGGCCTAAGGGGCCCATACTCCTTGCCGTAGATATGGGCTGTTGCTGTAAGTGGGGGACACTTTATCCGCAACTTCCCTTAACCCTAAACCCTAAACCCCGAAACCCTAAACACCTAAAAAGGGTAGCAGCCCACCCCCTGCTTCCCCCAAACCTGGGACAGACTTGGGAGCCCTCTCTCAAAAGTTCTATGGCTTCATAAGGATCAAATAGGATTATGGCCACTGGCCCATGATGATCACAAATGTTCCCAGGCCGGATGTCCTAGAAGTTCATGATAGTGGGGTTATATTGGGGTTATATAGGGTTTAGGGTTTAGGGGTTAAGGGTTTAGGGTGAGGTCTCCATGTTTTGTGGAGGCTGCCAAAGGGTTGGAGCCCTGTGGCTGTCTGAAAAGGGAAGCCGGAGCTCTAAAACGGCAAACGCCAAAACCTCAACTGTTTTTAAAAACGGTTTAGGGTAACCCAAATTTAGGGATACCTTTTTGGGGGGTTCCCATACTTAGGGAAACTACCCTATCGGTATAGGGCTTAGGTTTTAGGGCTTAGGTTGAAGCCTAAATCCTAAACCCCGAACCCCCAAGGAAGGAAGCAAGGAATCGCAGGGTGCCTCTTCAAGTTGGCGATGATATCTCGGGGATGGTAGTTCGGGAGGAAGGTCGACCACCCAGTTCCAATTCCTGAGGTATATAGGGAAATGTAGGGATATGTAGGGACATATGGGCTCGTGTGAAAATCCCTGGCCACTCTTCCTATCCTATTTTGAACCTTATCGTTATTTTTTCTTGGTTACCGTTTTACAGGGGAACTGTCTACTACTTCTGGATTGTAGACCTTATCGTTTTTTGTGTATTGGTTAT